ACACTGTGAGCCACCAGAGTGTTTTCAACTTCGGCCGTGCCAATACGGTGGCCAGACGTACACAGCACGTCGTCAATACGGCCAGTGATGAAGTAGTAGCCGTCCTTGTCGCGACGACAGCCATCACCCGTGAAGTACAGACCCTTGTGCGTCGACATATACGTCAGCAGGTAACGGTTGTGGTTGCCGTATACCGTACGAGCCATGCCCGGCCACGGCTTACGGATGCACAGCTGTCCTTCGATGTCGTTGCCCTTGATCTCATTGCCGTTCTCGTCAGTAACCACGAAATCAATGCCAAAGAACGGCTTGGTGCACGAACCAGGCTTCATCGGAGTAGCTCCAGGTAGGCCGACACCAATGTGTCCGCCGGTCTCGGTCTGCCAGTAAGTGTCAGCGATGTAGCACTGGCGGTTACCGACAACTTCGTAGTACCATTTCCACGCCTCCGGGTTAATTGGTTCACCGACACTGCCGAGGATCTTCAAGCTGGACAAGTCGTACTCCTTGATCTTATCGTTGCCACGAGCCATCAACGCACGGATAGCGGTCGGAGCAGTGTAGAACTTGGTCACCTTGTAACGCTGGATCAGATCCCAGTAGCGGCCATGGTCCGGGTACATCGGTGTACTCTCGAACATGAGCGTGGTGACACCATTCGCCAGTGGACCATAGATAATGTAGCTGTGGCCAGTGATCCACCCAGCGTCAGCCACACAAGCGTAGATGTCATCAGGCTGCAGGTCGAACGTGTACTTGCACGTGATCATAGCGTACAACAGATACCCGGCCGTCGTGTGGGCAATACCCTTGGGAGCTCCAGTGGATCCAGACGTATACAGGATGAACATGAGATCTTCAGCGTTCATGAACTCTGCAGCGCAGTACGGACGGTGGCGCTTCATCTCCTCGTCCATATCCACATCGATCTTGGGGTTCATCTTCACCTCTGGGTTGTGAGTACGCTTGAACACAAACACGTTGCGTACAAAGTCCAGGCCGTCCACTGCAACGTCGACAATCTGCTTGAGTGGGAGCGTACGGCCGCCACGCTTGCCCTCGTCTGAGGTGAAGACCCAGTGGGTGTTTGCGTCAATAAGACGGTCACGCAGAGCGTCGGCCGAGAAGCCAGCGAATACGACGCTGTGTACGGCGCCGATACGCGTACAGGCCAGCATAACGAAGGCGATCTCCGGGATCATTGGCATGTAGATGGCCACAGTGTCGCCCTTCTTGACACCAGCGTGCTTCATGGCGTTGGCCACGCGGCACGTCTCCTCCAGCAGCTCCGTGTAGGTGATTTCTCGACCTTGGCCGATCTCGTCTGCCTCCCAGATGATGGCCACCTTGTCCGCGTGCTTCTTGACATGACGGTCGATGCAGTTGACGCTCACATTGAGTTGGCCATTGAGGAACCAGGCCACATCGCCCTTGTTGACGGTGCCCACAACGCTCTGGTCGAAGTCGCGGAACCAGTCGAGGTTCTCGCGGGCCAGCTCACCCCAGAAATTCTCCGGATCCTCGAGCGAGCGCTTGTACATGGCCTCATATTGCTCGAAGTTCTTGATGTGGGCCGTCTTGGCCAGCTCCTGGATCGGAGGATATTGTCCGTTAACGCTGACGCCGGCACTGTCGCCCATGGCTAATTGTGTGTTGGGTTTGGAGCGAGAGACTTGAGGTGGTAGGGCGCTGTGCGCTTGACGAGGCAAATTGGATTGTGCGGTTGGCCAGCGACTTAGCAGCACCGACGCCTTCTTCAGAATCTTGCTTTACCTGTCCTTGTACTTCATGTTGTTGCTGTGCGATCCCATCTTTGATTTGTGAATACGGACACTGAATTTAGTGTATCAAGTACAAAAAACGTTTTATTGACCTCTGTTTAACTTCTCTAGTTCTTATGTCGATAAAAACACCGCACCACCGTCGAAAAGCTTGCGTTTCACACCAGCCGTTAAAACGAATAAGCTTGGATAAAGTAGGCTCCTCAGTAAGTGCGAATTCTAGTGTTGCTTAGTATTCGCTTGACACGCAAGGCAATATTGCGTCGCGAGCTAAAGCCGCTGATTGACCGCCGAAACAGCAAGTTGTCGTCGACTTCAACTTGACCCGGGGCGGTTCTTGTGCCAAAGTCTTTTTCTTTTGTTCATCCTGAGGTCATAGGACTCGTAGTAGGAGCTCCAACGTGGCCGCTACCGTGCAAACTGCACGGCTGAAGCAATCAAAAATGAATTGTTGATTAATTACGGGCTGATCCCATGCGGTCGTCAACGAGTAACCCATTCGTCGCTCCTTTCGAACGAGGATGGCCACGTTGAAGTTTCTTGCCGTGGCAACCGATTTGCACAGCCCTGACCATACTGTAGCGCTACAAGGAGACTACGTGCGTTGTATGACATGCACTGCCGTTGAAGCCTCGCTATTCCTAGCACAGCAAGAAGCGGTATTCATGTGAAATGCATGTTTAACCAGATGAGATTATGGTGGCAATTATGGTGTCTTGAAGCCAGTGCCTTCTCACGTCGAAGTCAAACCACGGCTCCGCAAGTTGTGAGCGACGTTCCTCCTTTGAAGTCTTCCATCGGTGCTGGACCACCACAACTTGTGGCACAAGGACGCTTGCAGTGGATGAGTGACCCCAGCGGCGATGCCAACCTTAGTAGCGTTTCAGGTGATGACTTGGCGACGGAGCTCGTTGAAGTTGTCTTCTTCGAGCCGAGTTAAACCAGCAGAAAAAGTGATCAGATTGTACCAACTGTGGGACCATCTGCCCTTTTTTCTCGTGGGTATTTTGCACGTTGAACTAAACCGTTCCGTCAGCCAATCAGCGATGGCCGAGGATAGTCTCCACAGACAAAATGGTCATTTAAGAATTTGCTTCGGCCGACTCAAGTCTCTTCGCCTTTTAATTGGTCAAGCGGTTGTGAGCATGGGAGATAGCGCCGGTGTGAGCTTCAACGGGGTGTATCCTGTGCCTGACGGCTTCTCCAAGACGGCCCACGTCCAGAGCATGGAGCAGTACGAGGCCATGTACAAGCGGTCGCTCGAAGATCCCGAAAGCTTCTGGGGCGAGTTGGGCCGCGAAAATCTCGACTGGTTTCGTGAGTTTGACCAGGCCGTCGTCGGTACGGTGAACAAGGGCGACACGGCGTGGTTCCTTAACGGAGAGACGAACGTGAGCGTCAACTGCATCGACCGTCACGTCAAGAAACACCCGAACAAGACGGCCATCATCTGGGAGGCGGACGAGATCGGCCAAGGCAGGGAGATCTCGTACACCGAGCTGCTGGAGGAGACGTGTCGTATCGCCAACGCTATGAAGCACGCGGGCGTCCGTCGCGGCGACACTGTAGCCATCTACATGCCCATGATCCCAGAGGTCGCGTTCGTTATGCTGGCTTGTACACGTATTGGCGCCGTGCACAGCGTCGTGTTCGCGGGTTTCTCGGCCGACGCATTGCGTGACCGCATAGTGGATGCCCAGACTCAGTGGGTATTCACGTCCGACGAGGGCAAACGTGGTGGTCGTACGCTACCGCTTAAGCAGATCGTGGACCACGCTGTCAATGGTCTGGACTTCGTGCGTAAAGTGTTCGTGTTTAAGCGTACACACAACCCAGAGGTGAAGATGAACCCGAAGATTGACGTGGATATG